CTCGAAAGGCCCAACCCCAGCCTTGGGCCTATGATTCAGACAACGACTCTCTACGATATAATACTATACGATACTATACTCTACGACACTCTACTCTACGATACCCTTCTCTACAATACCCTACTCTATAGTACTCTACTCTGCAGTACTCTACTCTATGATACTCTCCTCTCCCATACCTACTCTACGCTACTGTACTCGTTTTTACTCTACTTTGTGCTACTCTTCTCTTTCCTACTCAGCTCTATTCTACTTTACTTCACTTTACTTGGTGTAGGGTTTTGTGTGTGTTGAAGCGAGATATGGATCCAAGTCCGACATTAGACCCCCTGTGCGCAACTTGAAAAAAAGTAAAAAAGTATACTCTTAACTATTTATTAGAAGGAAAAAAAACATACGCACTTCTTAGCAACCGTTCAAGTTGTGCGGGTGTTGCGTGTGGTTAAGCAAGACATGGTACCAAGTCCGACATGGGGGGAGGGGGTGCATGTCAGACTTCGTACCATGTCTTGCTTAAGCAACTTAACCACACGCAACACCCGCACAACGACCGCTAAGAAGTGTGCATGGTCCCCCCCCCCCCTTGCAAGTTTAAAAAAAAAAAGTATACTCTTTAGTATTTATTAGGCGGAAAACAAATTCATGCGCACTTGTTAGGGGCCCCAGTGTGGGGTTTTGTGTGTGTTGAAGCGATATATGGATCCAAGTCTGACGTTAGACCCCCTGCACGCAACTTGTAAAAAAGAAAAAAAATACACTCTTAACTATTTGTTAGAAAAGAAAAAAAAACATACGCGCTTCTTAGCGGCTGTTGCGCGGGTGTTACGTGTGGTTAAGCAAGACATGGTACCAAGTCCAACTTGGGGGGAGGAGCCCCGTCCCCCCGCAACTTGAAAAAAAAAAAAAAGTACATTCGTAAGTATTTATTAGGAAAAAAATAATAATGTGCATAGGGGCCTCGGTGCGGGGTTTTGTGTGTGTTGAAGCGAGATATGGATCCAAGTCCGACGTTAGACCCCCTGCGCTCAACTTGAAAAAAGATAAAAAAAACAAAACCATACGCACTTCTTAGCGGCCGTTATGCGGGTGTTGCATGTGGTTAAGCAAGACATGGTACCAACTCCGACATGAGGGAGGGCGCGGAGGCCCCCCCCTCGACAACTTGAAAAAAAAAAAAAAAGTATATTCTTAACTGTTTCTTAGGGCGTCGTTAGACACTCCTCGGGGACGCGACTCCGAGGAATTCGTCGTCGTTCCACCTGTCCTCGGAGCCGAAATTCGGAAAGAAAATGTGAAAACACTCCGAGGACAAATCCTCGGGCTCCGAGGATTTCCCAGCCAAATCGTCCTCGGCTCCAAGGGACCTCGCGAGGTCCTTTGGAGCCCGAGGATCTGCGATTAACGGGGTGTCGGCGTCGAGTGCAAAAGGAAACTTGGAGGGTGAAGGTGGTCCAGTCTTAGTCCGTCGTCGACCCGACGCTGTACAACCACCTACCGTCCCACGAGATTCCATTGCCTCCGAGTGACGACGATGTGGACAACCCTCGATCCTCAACGGTTCCTTTAGGCAGCGGTTCGACGCAAGATTGGATGGGGAGCCAGCTGTTCAGACAGGCATCGACCCCGACGTACACTGATCTGCTGGAGGGACGGACCCCGGCGGGCTATGACGCAGGACTCGTCGATCTGAGCTTCGGTCTGAGGTCTGGGAGTGGTGAGGACGTGACGCACACCGTTGTCGTGAACCCAACTTCAGGTAGCAATCACACACCGCCTTCAGTGAGGGCGGGGGGGTTACCAGATAACCGTGGCCGATGTTATCATGAGTTGGGCGACGAACGTGGATTCGTTTCGCCAAAGCAGGGGGCAGTGAGCAGTGCAGGGTAGCCGCTTCGAGGATGAAGACAGCAGGATTGGCGGCCTGTGGATCAACGACGCCTACTGATGCAATTGACGAACGACAGGACGACGATGATTGCTCCGCTACAGAGGTCATGGGTCGACAGGTTTGGGATGATCATCGGCGACAATCGCGCAAAGCGAGCGCGTCCGACATAATGAGAGGGGTGGCGAAGATGAATGTCGGGGCCGACGATATATTCGTGGATTGTGATGGTGGAGGGGGCGAAGATTGCGCGGCAGACGACAGCGACAACGACAACGACGAAGACGACGACGGCGAAATGGAGATTCGTCCAGTAGGGAGGAAGCGGGCAGGGTCGAGGGCCACAAACAAGTTCACTGAGCCGCGCATGGGGTGGAAAGGCAAGAAGGCTGTGGAAGATATGTCAGCAGGCGAGGGAGCTAAAAGCAGGGATTTTTGGACCGTGGAGCATATGATTGCTCTGGTCCGAGTGAAAAAAAACTAGGATTTGCATCTCGCCGCCCTGGGGCACAACTACGGCCGGATGAAGTCGAAGACGTGGAAGTGGGACGACGTCAAGAAGAGGCTCGTGAAGATGGGGGTGACGAGTAGGAAGGCCGTCGACTGCGGGAAAAAATGGGACAACCCGTACCAGCAGTTCAAATTCGTGCACAAGTTCATGGGAGAATCCGGGAAGCCAAATTTCTTCACATTAACGTCGGGGGAGAGGAAGGAGCGCGAGTTCGACTTTCGGATGGATGAGCGTGTTTATTCGGAGATGAAGGCGATGTCGAGGGGCGATCACACTATCCACCCCACGAATCTCGCGGACACGGGTGCGACTGGAGGGGTTCAGATGCCCGGCCCAGGTGGCGGTTGGAACGAATCCGTGGCTAGTGAGGGATGCGGGGATGGACAGGGCGACGATCAAGGATCGACGAGGGATTCAACGTTCAGCGGTGGCAGTGCTGGCGGGGGCGGCAAACGAAAGAATGTCAGACACTAACCTTCGAAGCGATCGCCGACGTCATGGATAAGCACGGGAAGCTGATGGCGACGACTGTGGACAGCGCGAGCAAGAGGCAGTGCTCAGTTCTGACGAGGCAATGCGACATTCTCGAGCGAGAGGTGGAAGTGCAGAAGGAGCACTACGAGAAGGCCGACCAGGCGAACCTCATGATGTGCAACGCCCTTTTGGAGATTGTGAAAGCGATCCGCGAGCGATCTTAACGTCGCTCGGCCATACATCTCCGATGTAGGCGCGATCGCCACGTGTGCACTTCGGGAGCAGCGTTGTTGCCGCCGTCCTGCGTACTGCAGTGCGGTGCGGTCGAGGTTGTGTAGAGACGCTGTCTCTTATACACATCTAGATGTGTATAAGAGACAGCTTTATATGTTTCCACCTGGGTAGCACGGCGTACGTGTACGCGGGTTGCGCGTACACGTGTACACGTATTCCTGTATGTGGCACGTACGCGCGTACACGTACTCCTGTATATG